GATGTTATCAAAGGTCCTGGTTGGTAATGGTTAAGGAACAGAGGAAGGGCCCTGTCTGGAACGTGGGCAGCTGCTCCCTGCCTAATGACTCTCTGTCGGCTGGTAATTGTTGCCTTGGCTTATGCTCAATCCTTTGTACATTCCAGCAACCAGTAGTCATGATCAAAGTCGTCCTTAATTTAGGGATGCCTTAATCCTCTACATAATGAATGAGGCTTGATGATAAAAGATGCTTGGTTTCACAATGAATTAAAGTTCTCATCCAGAGCCTCCCGTTCTTTAGCAGTCTTCTTACCATGTGCTTTTAGCCAGTCAGAAAGCTGAAGTGATCACCCACTGAGTGATGGAGTCTCATCTGGATGTAAGCCACGTTGAGGCTGCCGGCTGGCCAGTCACGTTTTAATGTCAATGATGCATAGGTGAGTGGGAAGATTTCTAATCTTTGCAAACAAAATGAGCAGAAGTATTCTTTCAACGTCAACATGAAGAGGCAGCATTGAGATTTCATCACATAATCCTAGGCTGACTTCTTTGTGTCTTGATAAATTACATTTAATTGTTTAACAAATCTGGAAAAACAATGCGCATAGCTTCAAAAACTACAACACACGTAGTTTGATCCCAAGATTGTAGTGCTAAAACAACCTCTCCATCTTATGTGCCAATGTTGATCAAAAGTTGCAGCAACATAACGTGACTCAATCTAATGATACTTTATGCAAACACTCAGTCTGCACTGATGAAAGACAATTGAAGTGGCTCCAATTGACAAAGCAATCTGCTCCCTGATTAATTCAAGTAATTCCTTTTTCAGTCACTTGGTGACAGTCGCAGATTTGCTGTAGTTCATAGAGACAGTGACCAAGTGTGGCTGATAGTTGGCTTTTGTAAACACAGTTTTTTGATTAAATATTTCAATGTAAAGCTGCCAATCAAATTCAAGTAGGTATACCAAGAGAAAATGCTACAATAAACATGACTGTAGAGCTGCAGATACATACAGTCTGCATACACAGATGTTGACAGTATGACCCTGTACCAGTTGAGGCACCTGTTTTCACTTACACAACATACCAGATACCAGCCTGCACGTACGTGAGCCAATAGAAAGTTAGAGCATACAACCGTATATGATAGCACTCGGCTTGTTTTAAGCTCTTCGTCTTGTTAATAAAGAAAACCAATCATTTACCATTTCTTTTTGTTTAAAGACATGCAGTTGTTTTTGAAATACAGCACGAAACATTCAGCAAATGTAAAAAAAAAAAAAAAGTATGACTTCCAATTAAATTTAACAATGAAAGACAACTGCAAAAAGTCATGGAGAGCCACAGCGATTACTGAAATTTGTTTTAAAAGTTGATCCTGACCCCTATGAGTGCAAATTAATACTGACTGGTTTAGTTCTGTTTGATGGTGTGTTAAAAAAGTTTCTCATACCCAGGTTGTGACATACACAGTTTGATTTATTCAGCTGGAGAGAAGTAAAAAAAAACATCCTGGTAGCATATGACGGCTTCAACATTATGTGCTTTTCTTGCATGTAGATAATAACAGAAAAAATCATTTTCTTCAACAGTGAAAACCTGGATAAAATAATGAAATACTGCGAGAAAATATTCTGATTTATGGGGATCTTGCTGCATTCTGAGGAGAAGTAGCATCGCCCCAAAGACAACACCCCAAGAGTGAAGTTTAGAGCTGAGAACATGTTAACCTAGGCATGTTTTTCAGCACAGCTACTGCCAGACGTTGTATAATCGAAGGACAAAATCTACAGAATTAAAACAGAAGGTTGATCATACATATACAATAGTAACAAGCACAAAGTTAAGGAAACTCTTTCAGTTTCACGAAAAGAAAATAAAGCTCCTGGAATGTCCCAGCTGATGACTGGACATGAATGAAATACAAGGGAAGAACAGAGTGTGCTCAGATTCAAAATATGATGCCAAGTTTATTTCCCTCTAAATGTTGCCTCCATTGTCATTTCTCCATAACAAAAGACAAACAATCTTTCTGGAGTACCGGTGTGTTTGAAAACTAAGGACTTATTATCTCGCAGACCTTGGTTATGATCTTTCCTTTGGCAGCGACTCGAACTGACGAACAGCAGCAGCGGTGGCTGACTGGCGACTGGATATTTATGTGGAGCAGAACAAAGCAAACAAATGTCCTTTTGATGTTCTGCAGCGTCAGACGTGACATCTCTGTATTTATAAGTTTGTGTACACGGTTCTTGCTAAATTTCCGCAGTGAATTAATGTAAATTCGGTTTGGTCAGAGGTTAAGTGCATGCACAAAGTCCAAATTGACAAGTCAAACAATCTGTCCCTCCGACAATAAGGTCATTAAAATCGGCCTGATCACCATCCAGTGGTGTGGAGTCGCTGCAGCCAATAGGGACGGTGAAGGTTGTGTTTTGTTTGCAAACTTCTGACCGCGGAGCAGGGGCCCTCGCTTCGGTTCTTAACCCGAAGGTGTGCACATTAAACTTTGCTCGGCTAATCCCTGCTCCGTAGAGAATAGAGGGGGATTAAGACTTTAACTCCTTCGGAGAGAAAAGAGAAAGGGCCAGCTTCTCTCTGCAGGAGCTCCCTTCGGATTCATTGTCTGGTCACGAAAGCCAGCTGTCAATGTTTCTGGGATGACGAGATGAATGAGCAGCACGTCTGCTCCCTCTGTTTACCTCTCGCTGGGTAAATCACTTTAGGGCCGAACAGACCCACACGATAAACGAAACACATGGAGCGACTCTGGAGCTACAAGAACAACTTATTGTTTGTATATGATTTGAATATACAGCATTATGTTGTTTTCCTGGATGTAACATTTGGTAGGAACACTGGTAAAATAATAGAAACAAATGATACTGGGATGGACAAGTAACCTCTATGGAGCGTACGATGACTACTAGAGATAGCTACCAGCAACCATCCCACAGCCCTGTACGGACAAGTGGGTATATATAATGGATGGATGGATGGATGGATGGATGGATGGATGGATGGATGGATGGATGGACGGATGGATGGACACCATATTCCATGTGTTACACAATGTCTTTGTTCATATAGCAAACTAAGTCAAAATAAAGACGCAATGACTAGATTTTTAAGTAAATGCATCCTGATGACGAAGAGCTAAAATGTGATGCATCTTTGATCTTGAATTAGAACGTAATCAAATGAGCGGCGGCTATATTTTCTCTTCAAAGCAGGAGTTTCGACAGCTTGCTGATCTGATGTTTCTTGGTGAGAATAGCCATTGTGTAAACTCAGCACTCCTATTTGCAGGCAGAGCAGATGCAACTCTAACAAGCCCTTGAGGGTGTGTCGAAACTTTTCATTTCCCAAAGCCCTCAGAGAGCCCTTCAAACTGTCTGGCCCGCAAGCGCCTATTGAAGACAATTGTATGTCTCTCCAGGCGTGGATGTTCCTGCAGATTTACCCCACTGTTAGATCTTGGGATATTTAGAGAGACTGTAATAATGAAAACTGCAGAAAACAAAGAGGGAAGCATCTTTGGTTGCTTGTAATGCTTGGGTTAGGATAGTTACATTTGCAGGAATCAAAATACATCCCAGCAATGTGGCCAAGCTAGCCGAGAAAATAAAGATGAATAGCCTTCTTTTCAGACAGGTACAAAGTAATGGTTCCTGTCACTGAGAAAATGAGAGAACTAGTGAGGTCAAACAGAAGCCATACTGATGGAAGACTGTTGGTGGTTTTGCCTGAATAACTTAACTTAATGAAATAAAAACTTCTGTTCATATGCAGTTTATGAGATCACGATGCGTGGTGCATGTAAATATACAACTTTATTTTAGTGGACATTTTAAACAACCAACGTAAAATGGGTCAAATATGACTTTCTATCGCACAAACCCTTGCTATCTGGTTAAGTGGATGAATTTGTGGCCTCGGCCCAATGTCTGATCCAAGAATGGCATCAGAATCGGGCCCGGTATCAATATTATAATGGATCATCCCCATCTTGGTTGATGATATTGGGATATTCGTGATTGTCATTTCTAGAAAACGTCTTAAACGTAAGTAGAATCAGTCAGTTCTGCATGCTTTGCATTCTGACATTAAGGACCTATTAACTTCAAATCTTGGATAATTGCTGCAGTTTTCCGGCAGTTGAACAAATTCAAATAATCATGAGGACTTGTCGGGACAAATTCAAGTAAATCTGAAGTGAACTTGACGGAGTTAATGCCATCCACTTGGACCGTTTCTGAAAGACTGAGAATATTTTTTTTTTTTACTGTAATTGTGTGTACTCTCAGCTTGGTGCGTAGGTGGTCCGGTCTTCACACCTGCCTCTGACTACTAAGTCTGTGATCTGCACAGCTGCACCAAAGCAATGTCACTCACTTAACACCATGTCTTTACAGCATCTCTGTGACCAACATTCCCTCTGTGGGCTTACATGTTGCTGAATATGCTGAGTCTTCACTCACTGACTGCTCATAAGCCCCTCTGTCATCAAGCTGAACCCCTTGGTTATAATACCTGTACTTCAGATCAACTAGCAAAGAAACAAATGTAATCCGTTAGGTAATCTGCCGCTTCTGATCCTCTATGTCTCTTGCTAAATTCTTCTTACAGCTACAACATTTTCTTTGCCACCTTAGGCCCCACATGGTCACTGGCTTGCCAATGAAATAGCAGAACAAAAAAGCTATATGAAGAGATGTCAAATAGAGTTACTGTGTAGTAATCTAAGACTGTAAAAGCTTCCACTGATGGAATAACCTAGTGACGATGGTACACTGTCAAGGCATGTATTTGTCAGGAAGACTTCTTCTAGTTGAGTCAGACTTTGCTAAGTGGGATAAATGACAGGAATGGATTAGGGTTGGGAGAAAAGCTTAGTACCAGCTGTTTTCTTGCAGTTTCCAACAAATCTCTGAACTCTGTGGATGGGTTTTGCTCATGCTGACCCGAACGCCAGATCCGCTGTCGACGGCTCTCAGGAACGAACATGTTCACCTCAATCGCGTGACGTCTCTGAAAGGTCGACATCATCCACTTTTCCCGGACTTCTGTGATTCAGAAAGGTGTTGCCTCGAGGTTAAAGGAAGTTAACTTTGCATTGTACTCAAGTGAAAGAAGAAGTGGCATCTTCAGTAAAGAATTCACTCTGCACGATGCCAAGACGTTTACTCCTGCTACAGTTTAGTTTTAATGTCCTGGAACATGCCTCGGGTCATGTCACTGATACCTTCAGGATGGTTAACCATACGCTTCCCTTCCCCCAGATTCCTTTTAGATTCCTTTTCTGCCCTCTGTTTCCAGTGCAAGTGCTCTCCATTTGTCTCGTAGGATCAAATGTCCTACCGACTGCTGTGTTGACTGGTGAGCCTCCTTATAAGGTCTGATCACAGACCACAGCCCTCAGAGAGCCTTACCAGCTCTTTCCTCTTATTTACAAAGACATTCGGTGCACAGGGGCATGGAAAATTCGCCCTATCAGCCTTTCTTCAAAAAGCCCTTGGAGTACTTTTATCATTGATCACTTCAAATGTGGCGCGACCCTGACAGGTCAGTCTTTGCTTTATTTATTTATATGTCAAAGAAAATGAGTCTTTCTCTATGTCTCACAATTTAACGCACTAAAGTTTACCAACCATCATTGCTTTATTTTTTTTTTGTTAGGATGCATCATATTCTTGAAAGAAGTGTTCCTTACCTTTGATCTTTTTCAAAAGTGCCATAAAAAATCCATAAACTTGAATGTGTTTTATTAAACTTGTGAGAGACCAACGCAAAGGGACATGCTCTTGTGAAGCGGAAAGAACAGAATTATTCTTTTTTAAAAATCCACAAAACATGATACACAAGGCTGGATCATAAAGGATGTTAATGTTAAAACACATTAACATTTTTCAGCTCAAACCATTCCGTCATAGCTCTGGCCTTATAATAAGTCTGGCCTTACGATAAGTCTTATTATTCTGCTTGAAGGAGAACTTTACTCTGGTCTGAAGTCTTATGTAATTCCCAACAGATTTTTTTAACAGGACTTTCTTGTATTTAACTCCATCCACCTTCCCATCAACCGTACCCTGCTTCGCTGCTGATGCTGAAGAAAAGCATTCCCTCATCACAGCAGGACACCACATTGTCATGAGTCAAAAAGTTCAGGTTCAAGTTCAGTCTCATCTGACCAAAGCATCTTCTCCCACATGTCTGTTCCTTTGTTGTGACAAATACAAGTTCTTCTTCCAGCTCTTTTGTTGAGGCCGCGTGTTTGGTGTCTGTGACTAATAGTCACCAAATTGGTTGTTTGGTTTGGAAACTTGAGTGTTCAGAACAAAAACTGCTTAAACAAAATTCATACTGAGGCAAGCAAGATTGTTTTTATTTGTCACAAGCAAGGCTCATTCTGCACTGCTCAGACCACACTCGCTTTAAATCTGGAGTTTCAGCTTCTTCCCTCTTGGCAGACATTTAGGATTAAAAGCAACAGATGGAACAACTCATCCATAGCCACAGCAATCAGGTCCCTAAATTTGTGAGTCTTTTTATGTATTTTTGAATTGGCGCTTGCGTGCTTTGTCTGTTTTTTTTTAACATTATCTTACGTGTTTTATGTTGTTTTGTACGTTTGAAATGCTCTCGCTGCAGAAATGTTTTCCCCCAATAAAGGCACCGGGCTGAACTAGTTGTTCTGTCAACAAATTTTCCCACTTGAGCAGTGCGACTCTGCAGGTCTTCCCAGGCGGCCTCTGGGATTAATGCAAAGCCTGTCATACATCTTCAGACGACAGATTGAACAACGGTCAGATTAGAGGGATAACAATACACAGTGTTCAAATGTATATTAGTAAGCTAGTTCAAAAGTCACTTTCCTTCTACTTCTCAATAATTGTACTGCCCTTTTCATGTAAAAGCCCAATGATATGCATAGAAAATTGTGGTTGGAACATGAGAAAATATGAAGAAAAAAAAACAAAAAAAAAAAACTGAAAACATTGGATTATGATTTTTTGGGGGGGTTTTCCCCCAAGTTGTGTATGTGTCTCAGTAAATTGATAATAAATCAAACTGTCTAGTGTGTCATTTGCACAAACACCAGGAGCATTCGAGTTGTCCTAAATTTAGAAACTTTAGAAGAACAGTGTCGTAACATGAGCTAACATTTATTTTGCGAACTGGCCCTGTTACCGTGTGAAACAGAGGCATTTCCTGCACTAGAGGGCCGTTAACCTGAATCTAAAGGTTAATCTATATGTGGAAAAAAACTTCAATATGACTTTCTTTTTATTTTTTTTTTCCTGCTTAGATTTGGACATCTGAGCGGTTGAGTCAACATGTAGTTAGAGAGGGCCTTTATATGAACAGTACCTGCATTCACCCCTGCTGCCTCCCCCATGCCATTTAAAACACATTTTTTCCTACATTTGGCAACAACATGGCACTGTAATATCAAATTCACTTAGAGAATTTTGTGAGTTAAATTTTAATAAAAAGGACACGAGTCAAGTTTCCTCTGTTTTCAATTACATGCTCAGTTGCTTTGTTTTCTTTTTCCCAAAACGTTTTTTCCCATAACCTCTCGAGGTAGCTAACATGCTTTATGACTTCTTCAAGCTCCGTTTTATTGGTAAACCGCTTGTGGAACTTGTAGGAACAAGCTTGTGGGACTGTGCCACAGACACGGTTTATTAGACGAGGCTTTGCATTTTCATTAGCGCGAGTTTCAGACCAAACCCAGCCGGCCAATTAAAAATAATGTACGGTTTTGTTATGATACATGCTAGCTCTCTAAACTAACACCTTCATTTAATATTTAGACTGAAACGGACCGCCCTGATTGGATGACATTGCTGCTATGCCAACGAGAGCAACATTATTGGACGCTGGTCCCTCTGCAGCCATAAATTTGAATTTAAAGTTAATGCAGTTTAAATAAATATATACTTACGTTTTGTTTCAGATAAAACTTTTCAATAAGAATCTTTTAGCAATCTAGTTTTTTTTCTTTTGGTCACATAAACACCCTTCAGGGCAAAAAACATGTAGAAGATCATCCTGATTGACATTAAGTATGAAAAAAATAACAGTTTTTTCACACTTAATGGATATTAAGTCTGGATATTTACTTTACTAATTACTATTACATATCTACTTTCTATTTCACTGCCATGCAAAATCCACAACTTTAAAAAGGATATTTAAGGATTTCTGTTAAAGGTTTAGGCTATAGTTATTTAATTTATTATCAGAGATTACACAAATACTACTTCAGTGTTGCAAGAAATACCTAATTTAACTTAATCTCATGCTGTGCTGTCATGCAGACTCTCTGTCTGCATTAATGAAGATCTATTCTGCTTGCACAATGCCTGCAGGGTGCCAGGCCAACTTATTTTGATTAATTCAATTAATAATTAATACTTTGTACAAAGCACTGAACTCTTAGCCAAGGATGGTCAAGGAGATGATCAAATATGGAATGAGAAAGAAATAATTTGTATTTCTTTCTTTGTCTTGATGTAGCAGAGTTTACACCCTTCATCCCAATACACACTCGCTACACACACACACACACACACACACACACACACACAGTTACAAAATTGACATTATTTTCCTAATTTGAACCTTGGGAAACAGAATTTTATATATGTAATCCTACACAGGAAAATGAGACAGAGTGGCATAAGGTTTACTCTGAATTCCTATTTTTGCAAGAAGAAGTGGTAAATGACTTTTCCTGCTGCAAAATTCAATGAACATCTCAGCAGAATAAGCGTTTCAATGAAATCACCTGAACAAACAAGCTATTGCGAAGTTTGAATGTTCATTGTTGGCTTTGTCTGTGCTGTGGAGACTTGAGTGCCTTGGTAAAGGTCCCAGACATGCAGGGATGCAGATAATAAGGGAGCGGAGTCAAACGGCGAATAATCAGATCTGTGTGCGTGAGTTCAGATCAACAGTACCGTCTGTCAGTCCATCAATCCTGCGTCAGTGATGCCAGACAGTAACAATGTTACGTCCCGTACACATTATTAGTGGCATGAAGAGAGAGATGCAGCTTTATCGCTAACCAAAGCCAGGATACGACGCATGTTGAGCTCTGGTTTTATTTCTTCAGTATACAGAATTTTACGCAAAGAATCAAAAATCCATCCATTACAAGACCCATACACGTTGCGTCCCATTAGGCAGAACCCACCCGCTTTGAGTCGCAGGTTTATGACAGTGAATTTACAAGCCTCTCGTGAACATACCTCTGCAATGTTAACGTGAGGTAGAAAGGTTTTTAGAAAATTCATACGCGCTCCTTCGAATGTCTGTTTCCAAGTAAAACCAGCCAGTTAGCGGGGCGGGGAGGCAGTAAGCAAGGCCCTGGGGCTGAGTGGGTAATTGCTGGCAAGTCATGAAGGCCAAATGGAATGTTTATTCTCCCCCCGGGTCGGGAGGCGTTACGACGGCGCTGCTCAAAAATACAGGACAAGATTCTGAGAGGGTGCACTTCCTTGTTGCCATCACTATTTAAAAGATAATCACTCTAACCGTGTAAAAGCCTCGACTATCAGTTCCACACACCTTTTGGAAGAGGCAAGTAGACGGCAATGCAAGTGACTTAGTGGCCCCATCCATATAGGCCACAGAGTCATTGCTAACAACATTCCAGTTTTAAAATAATAGGTTGTAAATTGTGTACCAAGAGATGGATGCAGGTAAACAGTCAGGCTATGAACAGCGTTATTTGACAATTCCTCCCATTCTTTGTGTAAACCTCACAAATCAGGTTGCAGAGTATGATCTTAAAGCATAGCTGTCAGCTGTGCAGACTGTGGCCTAGCCTTTGGGCTCTTGACCCCTGATTCTGTGGGGTTCATGGAGTGGTGAACCCTGAGTCTCTGAGGGCAGACCCTCCAAAACTGACTGGGAACCGTCCAGACGCCCCGAAGGCCTAAAAGAGACATCAGGTCCCCTGTGAGTTAGAGCTGCCAAGACCCTATGGGAGTTTTAACCAGAAGCCTTTTTTTTTTTTGTTTAACACCTCCAAGATCTTTCAGGAAAAAATCCATCATCCCTCTTGGTTCAGGGGGGTTTACAGAAACAGCCCGACTCAGAGTGTCTTCCCAACCTATTCAATCCGTGATACCACATGTGAGATGCTGCAGCGGTTTCTTGGGAAAACCTTGACACCCAAACATGAGGATT